GGGCTGGAGGTGGGCCTGGGGGTGCCGAGGAGTCCTCGGGTGGGCGGGGCGGGGGCAGCCGGCACCAGCCCTGCAGCTCTCCGCCCACCTTGCAGGTGCCACCTACTTCTTCAAGGGCGCCCACTACTGGCGCTTTCCCAAGGGCAGCGTCAAGGCCGATCCGGACTCCCCGCAGCCCATGGGCCCCCAGTGGCTGGACTGCCCGGCCCCCAGCGCTGGCCCTCGCTACCCCAGACCCCCCAAAGCGACTCTCAAGCCCGAACCCTGCAATTGTCATTGCGAGATCAACCAGGCCGCTGGGCGCTTGTCCTCGTCTTCGTCGTGGGTGACCCTCCTGCTGCTCCTTCTGCCCCTGCTGGTGGGGGACATCACCTCCCGCTGAGGGGGTCAGGCGGGAGCCGGTTCTCCCACCACCGGCCTGTCCGGGGTGGTGATGGCCTGTCGGGGGTGGTGATCGCTGCCCGGCCCCATCCTCTGTTCCCAGGGCGGGCCCAGCAAGGTGGGTGGAGCTAAGCCCTGGGGGTAGGGGGTGGGGTGGGTGGGACACGAAGGCTGGCCCTGGACCGAACACAGGAAGTGCTCAGCCTCCCCTCCCCCAAACCCGCCTCCACCTGCTTTGGCCCCCAGGATGTGCATTTCCCGGAATGGCTGGCTTTTCTCAGAACACAGCCTGCTGACTCCTTGCAGCGCAAGCCCTGCCTGGCAACAGCGGCTCAGGTGCATGGGTCTTTAGAGGACAGGCCTGATCGGGAGACTGAGCCCCAGCACGTCCCCCCTCCCCCCACTTTTCCAGAAGTGTCTCTCACCCTGTTCGGCTTCCACCAGGTCCCAGTCAACACCACATGGGTGGGGAACTGGGACCCAGTCCTGAGACCACCCCTGGGCACCAGTGCTGCCCGTTCTGGGTGGCACCAATGACCACAAGGGTGACCTTCCACAATCTGGCCCCTGGACCTCCTTGCTGGTCACCACCCTGAATGCAGAACTGTCCCATTCAATAGGACACCCTCCCCATCTTTAAAAACCTCTTTTTGCCTCCACCCGGCGTGTCTGCAGTTCCCTCAAGGAGAACTCCTTCGCTCCTGTCTGCTCAGTGCTGACCACAGACAGTAGATTGAGCAGTCTCTTCACCTGGGGTAGCTGCTTCCTCAGCACTCCTGGCTGATGAGTGGGGAAAACCTGGGCCATCTCATTCATTTCCCACTCTCCCCAGAATTCAGGATCTAAATCAGTGCCCCTGGAACTGTGCTTCTGGAACATTCCACATCAGAATCACCCAGGGAACTTAAAAATGCAAATCCCATGCCCTCACCCTGAATCTTCACTTGGGATGGGACTGTCTTGTGGTTTTCTGTGTCTCTGCCATGTTCTCCCAGGAGCCAACTTTTCATGTCGCCTACAGAGCCAAGCTGATGGCCACAGTTGATAGGGGTCACCCCCATGGTTGGAGTCACTTAGAGGCCTTTTCTTGGGTTGCTATCCACCTCATGCTCCGCAGTGCTACCTAGAGCTGAGGCTGTGGGCTGCAGTCCCAGTGAGCACAGACAGTGCCTGCTGTTTATCAAGGCAAGCAGACCAGTGTGAAGACAACAGCCAGGCACATCTTTGACCTGTCCATGACCTGAGAACTCTAAGCCATCAGAAAAACCACCTCAGGCTCCGTCAGGATCCTGTTAAAGTACAAGGAGGGGGAAAATTATATTTTCAAAGCTTATCAGGTTGGTTTGGCTCAGTGGATAGAGCATCAGCCTGCGGACTGAAGAGTTCTGGGTTTGATTCAAGTCAAGGACACATGCCGGGGTTGGGGGCTTGATCCAGGTAGGGGACATGCAGGAGGCAGCCGATCAGTGATTCTCTTTCATCACTGATGTTTCTATCTCTCCCGCTCCCTCTCTGAAATCAATAAAAATATATTTTTAAAAAAAGAGGTAGCTGGCTCTCGATTTGGTCAGGGCACATGCCCTGGTTGCAGCTCAATCTCTGGTGCAGGGAGGGGGAGGGGGCGTGCAGGAGGCAGCCAATCTGATTCTCTACAGGTAAAGCACCCTAAACCCTATATAATGAGTCCTGATATATTTCTCTCATCAATGTTTCTATCTCTCTTTCCCTCTTCCTCTCTCTCTCAAAAAAAAATCAATAAAAACATTTTTTAAAAATGTGGTACAGTGCCCAATGAAACACAAAATGTCTTCAGATGGTGGCTTTTGTGAGACAGTCATGGAGGAGTGGAGTGTTATGGGGGGTCAGGGAGCCAGGCTTCTGGAGACAAAGCCCAGTAGTAATACTTGTACCTGAAGCAGAAGCAGCTCCCTTCTCTCCCACCCTGGAATTCAAAGACAGCTCAGGGAAGGATCTGGACTTCCTAGGTGTGGAAGGGGTTTCAGACAATTGAATGGGTTTTTTAAGGGACAGGGAGATGGCAGCTGAGGTCCAGCTAACCCAAGTGAGACTTTCACTAAGGAAGTGCGATGTATAGGTCTGTCCTTATGGGGCTCATGAGTGGCCTCTCAGGGGCCAGGTTCTCTTTGAGGATCTTAGGGGTTGAATTGTGTTCCTCCACAAATTCATATGCTGAAGCCCTAACCCCCAGTACTTCAGAATATCACCTTAGCAGGAGACAGGGTCTTTATGAAGGGAATCAGGTAAAATGAGGTCACTAGGGTAGGCCCTAATCCAATAGAACCAGTGTCCTCATAAAAGTGGGAAGTTAGTAGCCAGGCATGGATACAGGGAGAATGCCATGTGAACATGAAGACGGCATCTACAAACCTAGGAGCCTTCCCTTGCAGCTTCAGAAGGAACCAACTCTGCCAACAGCTTGATTTAGACGTCTAGCCCCCAGAACTGTGAGGAAATCAGTTTGTGTTGTTTAGCCACCCAGTCTGTGGTGTGTTGTTCTGGCAGCCCTGGGACACTAACACAGAGGGCAGACAGTGGCTGTGCTGAGCTGTGTGGGGCTTTGGCCCAGAGTTGGGTGTTAGGGAAGAGCTGAGAGGTGAGCAAGGCTATGTGTGACAAAGCCACCACAGGGGTCTTGCAGGTCTTGCCATGTCCTGAGCCTGTCGCTGCTATCAAACCTCTGGACTCTGAAGCTGGGGTGCACTCTGTTCGAGGGACCTGGTGGACATTCCAGACGTTCCCCTCCACCTTGACTCCCCAGCGGGAAGCTCTTTATTCTGGAAGCTCTGAGAAATGGTCCAACCTGCTTTTGAAATCTGCCCTTTCCTCTTCCCCTCCTCTGTCTCAGGCTGATGAGGAGATGAGGAGGAGGCCCATTCCTGGTCTCAGAGATTCCCTGGTTCAGAGAGTGGAGGAGCCATGGTCAGAGTTTAGGGATGTGCCCTCCCTTCCCTGAGCCCTTCGCCCTCTCCCTTCCTGTCTTTCCTCCTTCTCTATTTTTGTCTCATCCCCTCCCCCCACCCCACAATGTCAGTTAGCCCTACTTTATTCTCTAGGACAGGTCACCCTCCCTCTCCTCTGCTGCTCTGAAATCAGCTGACCTCCCTCTGTTGAAGAAACCTCAGCTGGTTCTGTGCTGGGAGGATGAGGAAGAATGTGATTGGCTCAGTGGGGGCCTTAAAAAGAGCTGCAACCAAAGGGATTCTGTAGAAGAGGCTGCTTCTCTGAAACACTTCTCATACCTGTTCCTCGCCATCAGGCCACAGCCCTCTGAAACCTGAAAGGTCACCCTCCCCCACCTCTCCCACCCCCCAGGCCCTCCTCTGCTGCTCTGAAATCAGCTGACCTCCTCTGGTGCAGAAACCTCAGAAACCTCAGCTAGCTCTGTGCTGGGAGGATGTGGGAGAGAAGGTGATTGGCTCAGTGGGGGCCCCAAAAGGAGCTGCAGCCAAAGGGATTCTGTAGAAGAGGCTGCTCCTCTGAAACACTTCTCATACCTGTTCCTCGCCATCAAGCCACAGCCCTCTGAACCCTGAGCAACCATGGGCTTCGCCAAGGTGAGTGAGAGCAAATGATGAGGGGACAGTAGGCCCTGGAATCCCATTTCCCACTGTGTGTTTTTTCCCCTCTCCCACCAGTGCAGCCCCACCCTAGCTGAATCTCTACATGCACCCAGCTCTGTTCCATTCTCCCGGGCCATGGGGAGACCCCTGGAAGCAGGGTGTCATGAGAATGTGACCTGTATGGTCATCGTGATGGCCCTGAGCCTGGTTGATTAAATGCTATCCTGGCACCAAACTGAAATTCTGAATAATTCTTGACAAAGGCCCCACAGTTTCATTTTGTGCTCAGCCTTTCACTTCATGTAGCAGGTTCTGATTGTGGGGCCAAAACTCATGTCCGGGAGAGAAATTATGGGGGCAACTCTGTGTGTATGAGAAGAGGGGTGTGTGTGTGTGTGTGTGTGTGTGTGTGTGTGTGTGTGAGACTGAGAAACAATGAGTCTTATGGGACAAAGTGTTACTTTAACAATTAGACCTGACATATTTGTGGGAAGAGCTGGAGAATGGAGGGTCTATAGGTGAGAAGAAACACCAATCCCAGTAGATCCTTTATATCTTAATACCCTGAAGGTGGGAGGTGGGAGGTGGGCAGTGCTTTCCTGGAAACTTAAAAATCCTCTCAGGTGCCTGGGCCAGCAGCCCAGTACTGGCATTGGCCTCAGTGTCTATTCCTCCTTTTTGTGGTGCCTTCCAACCTCCCCACACCCTACCATCGCCCCCAGCCCCACCCGCATTCTAACCATGAGGTTGAGCTGATGCTCCAGGATGCTTTGGGATGGTGACCAAGGGATCGTGGAATCATCGTTGAGGAATAAAGTGATCCAGGGCTCAGTGACCAGATTGGGGCCATAAGGTGGAGACTCTTGAGGAAGTCTATGGGGTACTCCCTGCCTCGTTGGTTGAGCCAAGGGGTTAGGGGTGAAAGGGGCCTGGGGTGCTGTGGGCCTGCAAGGTCAGCAGTCAGGAAGAGCAGCTGGATGTAGGCACCGCTGTGTCTGTCCCCTCCTCAGAGAGGGATGGCCACTGCCAATTCCTCCCTCAGCCAACTCTCACCAGTACCATAGAGGGTTGGGTATCTGGGAACCAGATTGCCCTGCACACTCCAGAACAATGTTCATACTTGTACGCTTGTGTGTCATGGTAAGTGTGAGTGTGTGAGCATGTGTACCACAGGTCTGGGAGTTGGTAAGTCATATAAGATCAATGTCACTGTTACCTCCACAGACATCCATAAGAAACTGAGGAGTGAAATGGTAAGAAGCTCTTCCCCATGTTTAGATAGGGTGTGGGCGGGGGCCTGGGTTTTACTGTGGGAGGGTAAGAATGTTCTGGCCCTCCTGGGGTCCAGGAGGGAGAAGGATCAGATCTCTTTGTCCCAACTCTATCTCTTTTTACAGCTCAAGGCTGTAAACACATTCTGTGATAAAGTCAAACCCGAAGAAGAGGACCAGGTGGGTCAGGGTTCCCACTCCTGTGCTCTGCACAATTTGGGTGGGGTAGTTTCACAATGATGATGATAATGACAATGATGATGATGATGAAGGTGCCACCTCAGGTTGGCTCATTCCTTACACTAGACAAAGTTCACACCTGCGTGGCAGGTGAGTACACAGGTGGGGGATAGGAAGGCCCAGGGAGCTTGAGAGGCGTCATAGTCATAGGTATACTGATGACAGAGCAGGTCCCCAGGCACATGGCTGGACCAGTTATGGGGAGATGGCAAGCTGAGAACAGGGGATAAGACTGAAAGTGAGGGAGGCCAGAGGAATTTAAACAAAGTCATTTTTTCCCAACAGGTCCACATATGCCTAGAAGAGCTGGAGGTGAGTTTTGACCTCGCCCCTCCCCCAAAGCTCAGTCCCCAGGAGTTTGGCCGGGCCAGGTTATTGGGGTGAGCTTTGGCTCCCTTGGAGGTCACAGTGGGGACTACAGACCACAGCAGGCAGGAGCAGGTCTGCAGCCTCCACACCCTCTTCTCCTCAGAACAACTTCAATGAGGCTGCGCTGGATACCGTATTTGCTCACTGTGAGAACAACCAGGTGAGTCTGAGGCTCCTGTCACAGCCCTCTGTGCTTCCCCTTCACCCCTAATCGCTTGTGATGTTAGCACTGCCATGTGCATACACAGCCCCTGAGTGGGGTGGGGGTGGCGGGGTGGCTGGCACCAGCTCCTGACCTCCCCACCCAGCACACAGTGGCCAAAGCCCTGCCCTCAACTTCATGTGTTAATGAGGAACCCCCTGGGCCTGGTGCTGGCCTCAGAGGCCAGTCAGCCAACAAGCAGGTACGACCATCGTGGTTTAGCTACAAAGGGGAGTTGGGGCGCTGAACCTCCGCGAGAAGTCTTTGTCTGTGGACTGCAGGCAGCTCCCTGTGTGAGCTTCTGTCAGGACCTGGTCGGACCCTACACATGCCCCATCCCCACAGGAATCTACTCCCTTACTTCCGGAGCAGCAGCAGGAACTGCGTAACAGGGTCCGTAGCAGAGTCCGCCCTGGACAGAAACCAGGCCCGGAGTGGGACCCTGAGCCAGAAGGATCGCACAACCAAAGTCCAGGTGATTTTGAGAGAATGTTAATTAAAGCTGGGGACAGTGAATCTGGGTGATTCAACATGGCCATAGAGATAGTACGTCTCTATTTACTTGAATTTCAAGTGTTTCTTACACGTTCCTAATCATTTCCCGGGAGTATCATTGTGTATTTTAAGAGTTTTTCCACAATTAGACAGTTTTCTTAGCAGTATATACATGAATCTTCAGGATTCAACTGTTTTATAAAAAATAAATAAATAAAATAAATAAATAAATAAATAAATAAATAAATAAATAAAATAAAGCTGGGGACAGTGAAATGAGGAGGACTTCGGATAGAAGAAGCACCAGCAGAGAGCCTAGGCGGGGCTCCTTTGGCTCTCTGGAAATTTAGAGAAAAGGGGGGCCTTGGAGACAGGTTTGGGGGGGTCAGTCCAGATGAGCTGCTGCTGCTCACTGCTCCCCTGGTTGCAAGTCTCCTGGGGACCCAGGGTTTAGGCGATGCATGCCTGAAAGGGAAGAAAGGTGTGGGCTTGCTCCTGGGTCCTTTGTCTTAAGGGTTTAAAGGCTGGGCGTTTAGAGGAGGTCTTGGGGAAGGATCTCGATAGAATATTCATCAGCTTTATGCTGATGTGCCAAAATGAGATGTGTTCCTTTAACTTATCTGTGCTTGGGTTTGTTTGGCACTAATTAGATTTCTGCTATCTATCTCCCTGAGTGGGGTGATTTAAGCTATTTATTCCCTGTTTTGGGAGGAGAAGTATGAGCCTCTTAGTCTTTTTTTTTAATCCTCACCTGAGGATATGTTTATTGATTTTAGAGAGAGAGGAAGGGGGAGAGAGATAGAGAGAGAGAGAGAAGGAGAGAAACATCTATGTGAGAGAGAAACATTAATTGGTTGCCTCTTGTATTGCTTTGAATAGAGATTGAACGTGCAAGCTAGGTATGTCCCCTGACTGGGAATCGAACCCACAACCTGTGTTGGTGTACGGGATGATGCTCTAAACCAGTGACGGCGAACCTTTTGAGCTCGGCTTGTCAGCATTTTGAAAAACCCTAACTTAACTCTGGTGCTGTATCACATACAGAAATTTTTTAATATTTGCAACCATCTACACTAATAAAAGACAAACATGCAAATTGACCATACCTTTGCTATGCCTTAAGCCACGCCCACCAGCCAATCAGAGCGACTATATGCAAATTAACCTAACCAAGATGGTGGCCGGCAGCCACGGAGCTGGAGCAAGCAGGAGGCTTGGTTGCCCCAGTGATGGAGGAAGCTAAGCTTCCCACCTGCCGCGGCCGGCTCTGAGCTCCACTCAAGGCAACAAAGTTTCAATTATAGAAGATAAATAAA